ATTCAGGAGGAAGAAAAAACACAAAAACAAAACCAGAAATAACAGAGATGATGGATTCAGCATATAAGGATGTTAAAACAAGTATTGCTCCATAAGCTCAAGAACGTAGAGGAAAGATGAACACGATGAGAGAAATTGAAGATACGAAAAAGGATCAAATAGAACTTCTAGAGAAGAAATATATGATGTGAAAAATACAATGAATGGGAGTAACAACAGATTAGACATTGAAGAAGGAAAGAGCAGTGCACTTGAAGAGAAAGTAATATAAGCTATCCAAAATGCTTTGGCAATTGGCTGCGTTCCAGTTAAACTTAATATTTACAGAACCAGGTGGCATACCTGATTGAACCCTCAGGCAACAGTTCACCAATCCCTGGGCCTAGGGCAACCACTAAAAAAATAAAACAAAGAGATACTTCTAATAAGTGAATAATAGAGGAAAAAATGGAATCAAAAAAATTTCTCAATCCAAAAGGAAACGAGAGGGGCTGGCCCTCTGTCTTAGTGGTTAAGTGCGCACACTCTGCTACTGGCGGCCCGGGTTCGGATCCCAGGCATGCACTGACGCACCGCTTGTCCAGCCATGCTGAGGCAGCGTCCCACATACAGCAACTAGAAGCATGTGCAACTATGACATACAACTATCTACTGGGGCTTTGGGGGAAAAAAAGGAGGAGGACTGGCAATAGATGTTAGCTCAGAGCCAGTCTTCCTCAGCAAAAAGAGAAGGATTGGCATGGATGTTAGCTCAGGGCTGATTTTCCTCAAAAAAAGAAAACAAGAAAAGAGAAAAAAAGGAACAACAACAATAATAAAAATTGGGAAAATAGGAAAAATAGCAAGATGGTATATTTAAACCCAACTTATTGATAATTAATTAAATGAAAATGAACTAAAAACTCCAATTAGAAGGTAGAGGGTATCAGATTGGAGAAAAAACTAAGACCAAACTATATACTGTCTATGAGACTCACTATAAATATTAAAACACAGGTAGGTTAAAGTAAAAAAGACGGAAGACAGATATACTATGTAAATACTCATCATGAGAAAGCCAGAATGGCTATAATAGTATCAAACAAAATAGATTCAGAACAAAGAATATTATTGGAGATTAAGTGAGGCATTTCATAATGATAGAGGGCGTCAACTCATGAGAGGATATGACAGTCCTAGATGTGAATGCACCTAAAAACAGAATTTTAAAATACATTAAGTAAAACCCGATTGAAAAGGAAAAACAGACAAAGCCACGATTATAAGTGAAGATTTCAACTTTCCTCTCTGTCATTGCTATAACAGACTGATAATCAATAAGGATATAGACTTTACCATCACCATCAACCAATCTGACCTGATTATTTAGAGAATATACAACCTAATAACACTAGAATATACGTTTTTTACAAGCGCACACAGAACATTCAAGTTAAACTATAACCTGTGCCACAAAAGACATCTCCATAAATTTAAGAAGATTGAAATCATATAGTGTATGTTCCCTGATTGCAAGAGAATTAAACTAGAAATCAATAATAGAAAGCTATCTAGAAAATCCCCAAATATCTGGAAATTAAACATACTTTTAAAAAACCAAAGGGTCAAAATAGAAATCGTGAGGAAAATTAGAAAATATTTTCAACTAAAAGAAAATGAAAATACATGTCAAAATTTGTCGAAGGCTACTAAAACAGTCCTTAGAGGGAAATTTATAACATTAAATGTTCCATTAGAAAAAAAGAAAGGTCTTATATCAACGATATAAGCTTTTACCTACAAAACTAGAAAAAGAATTAATTAAACCCAAAGTAATGAAAAGGAAAGGAAATAAAAAATTGGGGCCGGCCCCATGGCGCAGCAGTTAAGCGCACGCACTCTGCTGCTGGCGGCCCGGGTTCAGTCCCGGGCGCGCACCGACGCACCGCGTGTCAGGCCATGCTGTGGCGGCGTCCCACATAAAGTGGAAGAAGATGGGCACAGATGTTAGCTCAGGGCCAGTCTTCCTCAAGAAAAACGAGGAGGATTGGCAGATGTTAGCTCAGGGCTAATCTTCCTCACACACACAAAAAATATATAAGAGCAGAAGTGAAGAAATAGGAAATAGAAAAACAATGGAGGAAATCAATGAAACCAAAAGCTGGTATTTTGAAAAGATCAATGAAATTGATAAACCTCTAGCCATTGACCAAGGAAAAAAGTAAGAGAAAAATTATCAATAATAGGAGTGAAAGAGGGGCATTGCTACAGATTGTACAAAATCAAAAGGATAAAAAGAGTATATTTTTAACAACTTTATGCCAATAAATTTTATAACTTAGATGAAATGGACAAATTCCTTGAAAGACACAAATTACAAAAGCTCACCGAAGGAAAAAAAAATTGATAACATGAATAGCCCTAATTCTATTAAGAAAATTGAACTGCTAGTTAAATACCTTTCCACAAAGAAATTTCCAGGCTCAGATGGCTTCGCTGGTGAATTCTAACAAACACTGAAGGAAGAAATAATACTAACTCTTTCAGAAAAAAAGAGGAGCGAATACTTCCCAACTCATTTTATAAGACAGCATTACCCTGATACCAACACTAAACAAAGATATTACAAGAAAAACCATATACCTAATTCTTTATGAACCACAGACCAAAGAATCCTTAACAGTGTATTAGCAAATTTATCAAACAATATATAAAAAAATAATATATCATGACCAAGTGAGGTTTATCTAGGGCTACTAAGCAGTTTAACACCTTCAAAATCAATCAATATAATTCATCATGTTAATAGAAAAGAGCCATAAAATGCAGAAAACCAATACATGCAGAAAAACTTTTGACAAAATACAACACCCATTTGTGATAAAAACTATCAGCAAACTAGAACTTCTTTAACCTGATAAATCTGAAAAAGAGCATCTATGTAAAAACTATTGCTATTAACATACTTAGCAGTCTTTTACTGAATGCTTTTCCTCTGTCAGGAATAAGGCAAAAATGTCTGTTCTCATCACTTCTATTCAACATTGTACTGAAAGTTCTAGACAATGTAGTAAAGCAAAACAGAAATAAAAGGAATATAGATTGGAAAGCAAGAAGGAAAACAGTTATTATTCACATATGACATGATTGGCTATGTAAAAAATCCTAAAGCATCTCAAAAAAATTACTAAAACTATTAAGTGAGTTTAGAAAGACTGCAGGTCAATACACAAAAATCAACTGCATTTTCATATACTAGCAATAAATGATGGAAATTTGAAATAAAAATGAATAGTATTTACAACAGCATAAAAAGAGAAATACCTAGGGATTAATATAACAAAATATTTGCAACACTCTTACACTGAAAACATCAAAATATTACTGAGAGAATTTAAAGATCTAAAAAGGAGATGTGCATCATATTCATGAATTGGAAAATTATATTATTATTAATAATTACTATTCTTAAATTTAAACTATTAATGAGCATTCTAATATTTTCTTCTCTCTTAATGGATTGTCTTTATATATTCCTCTAATGTGCTTTGGGTCTGATGCTATAAAAACCATAAGATAAGAGTAGTTGTTTAATGTTATTGGTACAGAGTTTCTGTTTGGGATGATGAAAAAGTTCTGGAAATAAGACAGTGGTGACAGTTACACAACATTGTGAATGTACTTAATGGCACTGAATCACACATTTAAAAATAGTTAAAATGGTAAAATTTTGTTATGTATATTTTACCACACACATACAAAAGTTAAACAGAAAAGCCTAAGAAACACGAAGATCTGTAAATGAGCACTGGAGTGAGCACTTGAAGGACTGGAAAAGAAGCAAAGGTGTTAAATGGGAAGACAAGTGACCACTATGAGAGAGGCACCCAAATAAACATAGTATCAGTGGGGATGAAGGGCACTGTGGTATGAGGAATAAGATTCACCACTAAATGGTTGTATGGTGAAGGAGGAGACATTTAACTCAAGTTAGCTGTATCAGCAGGTGGGTAGGGGCTGGGGACATAAGCAGATTAGGAAAAAAAAACACAACAAAACACAGGATGGGCAGGAGATAATGAGGTAAATCTTGGCCATGTGCCTGAAGCATCTGTGGAACATGCAGGTGGTGATAGCTAGTTAGAGGATGGATATGGTTTTGACACTCAGGCCAGAGGTTTAGGATTATAATTACTTAAGCATCATTAGAATAACAGTGGCAGATTGTGAATAGGAAAAGGAGACTGTAAAGAGAAGAGAACCAATACAGAAGCAGGATAACACCAGTATTTAAGAGGTCCAGATATAAAGATGAATTTTCTGAAAGAAAGAACCAGGAGAGAGTAATTGAAACCAAGAGCAAAATATTTCAAGAGTTACACTGCTAGTTCAGCACTGTGATTTAAGCATATACATTTACTTCTCCTGCAACCAAATAAAAAAATTGGAATAAATTTAAAAATAGGCATAAATCTATAACATTATCAGCATACTGGAAGAATATTATTGGCAGGCCACAGATTTTTAGGAATTGTTGGCAGCTATGAGCAAAACTGAAGGATCACACAGGAGAAATACACAATTCTCAGTTCTTCGTACAATCTGCCAAGCAAAGCTCTACTGTCAAAGCCTCAAGACACGACTTCTTGCCACTTATTGATAGTGATCTTTCAATTCCCTCTCCATCTTGACTCTTTTTATCCATACAAGACAAATTCATGCAGTAATATATTCTCATTAAATTTGACAAAACGCATTTTTGTCCCATTACTGCTTCTGGGAGAGGACTGAGAAAGATGTTGGATTACATACCCACTTAACGTGTGAACACTGGTGAAAATTAGAAGGAGCACTTGTGGAAGGCAAAGGCTTATTTGGCCAATATGGGAAGAAATGAGACCACTTCCCTGAAGGGGAAGATACGCAGGAGGATTTTAGTACAAGACAAGAAAGGCAAATGCTCAAATATTCTTAAAAAAAAAAAGACTATTTCAGAAAAGAGAGAGGAACCATCACCTCACCTGAGCCATGGCTTTGAGATTTGCAAAAGATGACCAGTCTTTCTTTGGGCTCCCCTTTAGAAAACGGGCGGTTCCTAAGAAGGCAAAGCCAAGATGAAAAGAAGCCACATGCACCACACATGCCTTACAGCTCTCTTAGGATTTACGACTCAATTAAAATTGCCTCCATTGCCCTTGCTTTGGGCCCTATCCACTCTGCAAACCCATATAAACACAGGGGGGAGAATGAGCTAAGCAAATCTTATTTTATGCCCAAAGCCAGAGATACAGGCTCTTGGGGCAACAGGTTAGATTCTGGGCAAGCTCCCCTCCTCTCTAGCACCACCTTTTCTCTCCTAAGGAGCCTACTGTTATTAACTACGTCCAAGCTGCTCTCCTTTAAGGCTCTACCATTTATACTACCACCAGCAATATATGAGAATACCTGTCACTCTATATCCTGATATATACTACTGACACAAACTTCTTGATGCCTGCCTATCTAATAGGTATAAACTGTGGTTCTAGTTTTTATTTTTCTTATTATGAGAGGAGACAAGCTTCTTTTCATAAGTTTAAAAAACATCTTTAGTTTCTTATCTGTGAAAGGTCTAATTCTTTCACTTTTCTACTAGGTTTTTTTTTTTTATTTTCTGGATTGATATTAGATCTTCTTTAAAAGAAGGAAATTAATCCTGTCTTTACTTAATATAATTTTTTATAGTTTCTCATTTGACTTTGCATTTTTCCCATGTAAAAATAACTTAAAAAAAAAAATTCCTGGGCCATCTGGTTTAGTACCATCAGGTATTTGATAATCTATACTTTTTCCACTCATCAAAACTGCCTCTTTAGCATATACTTTACTTCCTTTATATATCTGAGTTGATCTGGACTTCATATTTAGTTCCAATGATCGGTGCATTTAATCACCAAGATTACTCTGTAGTTATTACAGTTTTAAAACAATTTTAATATCAGCTAGGCCTACTTCCCCCTCCATTATTTTTCTCTTTCAGAATTTCTGGCTTGTTCATTTTCTCCTAAGAACTTTAGAAAGTTCAAAAATTTTACTGGAACTGCAAGAAATTTTAGGGAGTTTTGAAACTTTATCATGTTGTGTCTTTCTGCCCTTTTATCCAAGTCTTGATTTTTGAGTCCCTTAGGAATATTAAAAAAAAATTTTGTTTTACACAAGCAATCCTTTGTAGCTCATATTTTTGATGGCCACTGGCCACTTCCCACAGTTTTCTGATACATATATATATACACATATGCACAAACACAAAAATATGAAGCCTATTAATTTGTTAATGTTTTTTTCCAGCAAAGCTCTGAGTTTTCTAATTGCTGTCACTGTTTGTTTTTAACAGGATGGTAACTTAGAAATCTTTCTGCTTCAGTTTCAGCATATGTCCCAAAGATGGTGAGCAAAACAAGCTTCTGAGTGTCCCTCATTCTAAAATAAAGTCTTGTAAAGCAGCTGACTGTAAAGTTTTGCTACCATTAATTTAACTCCTACTTCGAGGCTGGAGAGGCTTAGAGAAGGGAATGTCTCTTTAAGAGAGTAAATGATTTTTAGAACACAGTTTTCCAGAGAGATGAAAAGTGGGTGCTTCTCTCTTCCTTATAATAAACAAGGGGCCTCTCAGACCCTGATGCCAATAGGAACCAAAGTGGTGGGAGAATTCAGGGGGAAAATGTATATGTTTCCAGGATTTGGGAGGGCAAAGTGACTGAGGTGGCTAATTCTCACCTGAGCTCTAGATGGGGACCCCATGGATGCAGCCCGCCTAGTTTGGCTTGGATCCTGCCAAGAGGACTGACTGGAGAGACAAGACCCACCAGGTGGGCCACTGCATGCCCAGAGGAAGCACTGAGGAGGCAGCTGGAGAAGTGTCTATGCCCATAAGAAGGGAAGTGTATCTCTGGAAGTGGCCAGCAGTGGGTTCTTTCAGAAGGTAAAAGATGACTTACACTAAATTATAATGGTACCAGTCATGTTAGCCTCTTCTTCTCCCTGACTTCTCTTCCCTTTTCCAGCTCCCAATCCATTGCAGCTGGAGACTACCCACCTAGAGGGAGCAAAGAGACAAAACAGACATTGAGAAATCAGCAAAGAAACTGATCATGTACTCTTTCACACTGCAGGCTTCCAACAGGAGGGAGAGTTTTTGCTTTTAAAATGAGTTTGGAGTGTTGATGTCTACAGTGAATATTTTATCTAGCTACATGACTCTTGTAAGACTGATTTTGTGTTTAAATGTTCAACAGATATTTTTATTGTCTTCAGGGTGACTGAAGAATTATTGAACCTGTCCAGGAATTCATCCAATGGAAGAAAAAAAAAATTCACCCAAATAGAAATTTTGAGAGTGGTAGTTACGGGAGAAGATTTTTGTGTGTGTGCTGCTAATGGTGTTATTTCATATACTTATTTCAACATACTAGTCATTAGTCAATATGGGGTTTCCCCAGTAAACTATCCTACCATCTGAAAATTATTTTATCTCATCCTGTCCTCTATTTATTTTACTTGTCCTCATCCTTTACTTACTCCTCATCCTCTATTTTACTTGTCTAATTGCCACAGAGTGAAATTCTGAAGCACATAAAATGGCCCATGTTCAGATAATCTAAACAATACATACTTAACTAGTCATGCATCCAATTTCTCAAGCGCTCCATCTCACACAGTGAGCCACATAGTCACCATGGATTGTGCACACAAAATACTACAAAAATTAGACATATTCAGTTATATCACCTACTACACAATCACAATCCCATGGACATACGTCATGCATAATCTCGTACAGCCCATCACATAGTCCTACACAAAGAAGCAAAATTTTACTCATAAACCCTTTACTGTCGCTTCTCCAAAGTTGCAGTCTCAAAAACAAATCGACTCGCACCTAATTCAAAAAAAACGCAGAGATCCTATCACTTTCATAAACAACCGGTTCCACAATGTCACACGGAGTAACACACGCCCAAACACACACAAGCACAGGCACACAAAGCTATACAAACTGTATGCTTGTGCATGCCAGGCCGCGCTCCGAGAGTTGGGGATTCCTCACGAGGAAAAATCAGACAAAATTCCTGCCCTCGCCGAGCTCACACCCGCCTCGGGCTTCCAGGTCCCTCCTTGGCCCTCTCCACCCTGCACTCCCGGCTCCCTCTCGGGCGCTCCCCGGCCCTGGCTCCCGCTTCCTTCCTCTGCCTAGGTTCTCGCTTCCCTCCTCGCTTTCTCTAGGGCCCGGACTCGCGCTTTCCTCCTCGGCCTTCTCCGCCCAGGTTCCCTCTTCCTTCCTCGTCCTCTCCAGCGGTCCCTCCTCGGCATTCCCCACGGGTCCCCCCATCAGCCGCCTCCTCCGTGCCCACAGGACCCACCAGACTCACCTTGGACCACTGGCCAGCCGCCTGCGCCTGCGTACTCCCCCGCCGGCTGCTCCTCCCAAGCGTCTCCGCGGCTCCGTCCTCGCGGCCGCGGCCTCCGCGCGCCCTCTCGACATCCGGGTTTTTCCGGCGTTGAACTACATTTCCCACAGACCCCTGGCAGCTTTTGAAAAGAACTTTGCGTCTCTGGCTCTTCCGAAATCCTCAAAGTCGTGGCGCTCCGAGTGGGAACTGGTGTCTGGGCGCGGCGGGCGCTCACGGCGAGGAATCCTCGAGGCCTCCTGGCGCAGACAGGGCGTGTGGAGCCCGGAGCTCAGGCTTGTGTATGCGTGTTTAAGTGTGAGCGTTTGTGGCCGTGACGAGGCGGGGTGTGTGCGCAGTGATGAGGCCGTGACAGGTGCGTGATTGTGCTTGTGTGTCCCTGCTCGGATGCGGGACCTTTGGGGTGACTGTGATCGGCTCCGATGTGGGGTACGTGACACGGTGGCGTTTGAGACTGCCCATCACAAAACATTGCTGTTGTTACCTAATGTGATGGAAGAGGCTTTTAATTCTGTGATCACGTAGGGTTGTATTACGGGGTAGAGCTTCATTTCTGCAGTTCTGGGTTTAACGTTGGGCCTGAGGGGCTTTTGGAAGATCTCCCTAAAAGTCTGTCTGTGCCTGTACAGACTATGATGGCTGTGTTAACTACAGTCGTCCTGCACTGAAGCATGGCCTTGAGCTGCCTTCGTCAGGGCACCCCCACCTCCAATGCCCAGCCTCCTGCTTAACACAGAGGGCTATCCGTGGAGTGAGTGTTGCCCGCCTACGGGCCAATTTTAGGATCTATCCTGTCTCGGGATCTTTATCCCTGGGTTCCCTGCTGCTGCTGCTTTTCTCCCACTTTATAGCCATGGACCCCAGCTGCAGAGAAATGGTCACCAAAAGGGGAGTCAGATATTTGAGTGGTAGGATAAAGATTACATGCAAGCAAAAAAGCACAAACCTGTTTTTGGAATGAATTTGAGAGTTGGAAGTGCCCCTTAAGAAGACATGGGGAGAGCCTGGGAGTAGGATCTCCCTTGGGAGGTGAGGTCAAGTTCCATGTTTCAGAACCACATCATTCCCAAAGTTGTCTCCCCAGGAAACTTGCTGTGAACTTAGAGAAAGTTTCAGCCCTGGATATCAGTGACCCTGGCCTCTCCCTTTGATACTAAGAAGGTTACCAGTACTCCCATCTCCCTTTTACTTCTGTATGTATGCGGTAGATGATGGGAGCTTGTGTGGTGTTGAAGAATTTCTTCCCATTTAGCCAGTCTGTGTTCCAAGAAAGGTCTGGTGTCTCCTGATTCCTTACCCTTTCCGATCTCCCTCCCCCTGCTGTGCCTGAGGAAAGGAAAACATTACTGAGCGTATCTGAAAACCAAGCTCAAAGTCAGGGATTTTGTTGTTGTTCTCTTTGTTTTTGTTTTTCAGAAAAGGAAGTTTTTGCTCTCCTTCTACTGAAATGGTTAGGTTACTGTTAGGCAGGGCCAAAGTGATGTACTTTGACTAGTAGAATGTGGTGGAAGTGACATTGTGAAACTTCCCAGACAAAGCCTTAGGAGGTCTTGTAGTTTGTGCCCTTTTCCTCTTCCTGCCCTGAGAACACCATATGCTGAAGGCTAAGACTAGCTTGCTTGGAGACAAAAGATCACATGGAGACAGTGGCCCAGCTGACAGTCAGCAACAACCGCCAGCTATTTCAGTGAGACCATCTTGGACCATCCACCAAGCCACCAGCTGGCTGCTGTCATATAAGGGAGATCAGCAGAAGGACCATTCTGCCAAGCCTAAATTGCCAACGCCCAGAATAATGAGCTAATTAATGTTTTTTAAGCTACACACTTCTGGTGTTGTTACATAGTAATAGATAACTGAAACAGGTGTTTAACTTTCTAGACTATTCTATCACTCTGTATTATTTGTATTATATATTACTCTGATATAATTGTATTGGTCAACTTGTTTTGTGAAGTAATTTCTCTGCTGATATTATATCTTGAAAATATTCCATATCCTTAATAATTTTCTGCAACTTTGCATTTGTCTTAGTATTCTAGTACATGGATATTTTGTAATTTATTTAACCGATAACTTTCCTGAGCCACTCCTTCTACTTGCTGTCCAGCTCCCATGTCTTCACCAACTTTACATTCCCTTCCAGGACCTTAGGGGGACATGGGTTCATGTTATTTTAGGAGTATGTAGACTCAGGAACGTGGCATTGACTTCTAAGTGGAGTATAGATGACTCTCCCCACTCAGAGGAATTTGTTCAAGTATGTGATATAGGACCTATATACATTTATTTAAGCAATCAACTGGGTCTCCCTGATTATAGTATCTCTTTTCCCTTTTCCAATTCAAAATCTGCATTCTGGAGCCATCTTACTTTCTTCACTGTGATTCATTGGGAAATGTGACTCTTTAGAGTGCTTAGCTAATTTTCTAAAGGATTGGTTAAAAGATTCCTAGAGGTGGAAATGGGCATCTCTGCTGTGTTATTTCCAAAGTGTCGTCATCCTGATCCTTCAGATTACCTTCTCAACTTCCTCTTCTGTCTGATGATCAAGGGAATGGTCTGAATTTCTGCATAGCCACATCAGGCCTAAGTCTCATTTCTTCTCCTATGTGTAGGGTTTATTATTAATTAATTAATTAATTTCCAAGGCAGATATGATTTCCTTGTTGGAGCAATGGTGATGGAGAAGTTGGCAACAAGAGATCTAAGCTTAGGTAAGTGAGGGGCAAGGAGTAAGAGGAATCCATTGTGCATAAAATCTTAGGATTGAAATAGAAGTATAATGATGTACACCTGAAATGTATACAATGTTATAAACCAATGTTACCACAATAAAAAAATAAACAAAAAAAATAAATGAAAAGACTTATTAGACAATCAAAAAAAAATCTTAGGATTCAAAGTAGTATTGGTACTACTTTAAGGTAGTATTTGTGTTACTCATCTGAAAGACTTCATGTCTATGAAGAAAGTTCAGGACTGTTCAGCCAGAATTCAAACCACTACAACACTACATGTATCAGACACATATCTCCTTCTGTTATGTCTTCTGCTTTCAAAGAGGGAAGAATTAGCTCTATTATATTTTCTGATTGTAAAATTAGTAGATTCTTAATTCAGAATTCAGAGAATACAGAAAAGCTTAAAGTAAATCTCACCTAGAAACAGCTTCTTTGAACATTTTATTCCAAATCATGTCACCTGTTTCTCTGTGAATTAACACATGGATATAGGCAAATAGGATTTTTTTCATTCAAAACAAAATCATACTGCAATACTGCTTTGTAATCTACTTTCTTCATCTAACAAAATATAGATGAATACAGATTTTCATGTCATCAAATTACAAACTCATAATTTTTCAACTGCATTGTTTGTCTGAATATACTATAATTTATTTAACCATTTCCCTATTGTAGGATATTTAAGTTCTTTCTAGCTTTTCTCCATTATTATGCAGTGTTTTACTGCACACTCCTTTTTGTGCACACGTATAGTTATATCTTTTGGACAGAGTCAGAAATATTGTTGAGAATGAAGCTTTCATAGTTAAAACCTGATTATACATCTTTATCAATTGCCCTGCTTAAATTTTCACCAATATACAACATACAATGAGAGTGTCTATTCTACTAATATAAGGTAACATCAGTCTTTTTTTTTTTTTTTTTGTGAGAAAGATCAGCCCTGAGCTAACATCCGTGCTAATCCTCCTCTTTTTGCTCAGGAAGACCGGCTCTGAGCTAACATCTATTGCCAATCCTCCTCCTTTTTTTCTTCTCCAAAGCCCCAGTAGATAGTTGTATGTCATAGTTGCACATCCTTCTAGTTGCTGTATGTGGGATGCGGCCTCAGCATGGCCGGAGAAGCGGTGCGTTGGTGCGCGCCTGGGATCCGAACCCGGGCCGCCAGCAGCGGAGCACGTGAACTTAACCGCTAAGCCACTGGGCCGGCCCATATCAGTCTTAAATGTAGCAATCTAGTGGAAGTTGTGTCTGTTTAAATGAATTACCCATGCTCAGGTTTCGCTCAATGTAATAAAATCTGGGCTTCTGAGGCAAAAACCAGAATTGAAAGAGAACTGTTTTTGTATTTAGAGAAATGTGGGATTCAAAACATAGGTCTGCCATTTATTCTGAGCCTGTGTGATTTTTTCCTTCATTTTATTTGTTTATTTTTTCTTTATTTTTTCCCCCCAAAGCCCCAGTAGATAGTTGTATGTCATAGCTACACATTCTTCTAGTTGCTGTATGTGGGACACAGCCTCAGCATGGCCGGAGAAGCGGTGCGTCAGTGCGCGCCCGGGATCCGAACCCAGGCCGCCAGCAGTGGAGCGGACGCACTTAACCGCTAAGCCACAGGGCCAGCCCTCATTTTAAATAAGACTTTTATACAATATAGAGCAAAGATCTTTAATCTTTAAGATTAAAGATCTTAATGATGATTTGTTTTATAAACCCATACAACCACCATTCGATAAAGAAACTTTTCAACATCCCAGAAGGCTCCCTCATGTCTCTTCCCAATCAATATACCCCACAATTAACCATTATTTTGACCTCTATCACAATAGATTAGTTTTGTCTGATTTTGAACTTTCTATAAATAGAATCATACAGTATGTACTTTTGTGTCTGGCCCCTTTTACTCAACATTGTATCTATGAGTCATCCATATTGTTGTCCATAGCAGTATTTCGTAATTTAACATTGTTGTATAGTATTATATTGTCTGAATGTACCATAATTTATGTATCCATTCTCCTGTTGATGTGATATTTGGGTTGTTTCCAGTTTTGGCCTATTATGAGTAAAGCTGCTATGAATATTCTTGTACCAGTCTTTTGGTGTATATATGAAATCAGTTCTGTTTGTATGTACCACAAAATAGAACTGCTGGGTTACAAAGTACACATATATTAAGCTTTAATAGATGTTGCAAAATAGTATTTGAAAGTGGTTGTTCCATTTTACACTCCCACCTGCAAAGTATGAGAATTCTAGTTGCTCCACATTATTGGCATTATTCTTCTCAGTCTTTTGAATTTTAGCCATTCTAGTGAGCGTGTAGTGGTACAGTTGGATTTAATTTGCATTCCCCTTATGACTAATGATGCTGCAAACATCAATTCCTATGGACAATGGAATAATCCCATTATCCACAGAGCCAGGAATGAACAAAATTGAAATAAGTGAAGTTTCACAATAAAAAGTAAGTGCATAGCTTACCACAAAACACAGCAACTGTACTCTTGGCCATTTATCCCAGAAAAATGAAAACTTATGTTTACACAAACACCTGTACATGAATGTTCATAGCAGCTTTATTTGTAATAACCCAAAACTGGAAATAACCCAAATGTCCTTCAACAGGTAAATGGTTAAACAAACTAGGATATATCTATACCATGGAAAAACACTCGGCAATAAAAAGGAATGAACCATTGAAACACACAACAACTTGGATGGATCTTAAGGGAATCATGCAGAGTGAAAAAGAGCCAATCTCATAAACTCACAAACTATGTGATTCCATTTATATAAGATTCTTAAAATGACAAAACTATAGAGAGGGAGAACAGATTAGAGTCTGCCAGGGA